GTAGTAGTGGTACATGTGTGGTATGTTCGCCATGCTGAACACAGCTTCCGGACGGACGTGCGTGGTCTGGGCTAAAGCGGGGAGCAGCAGTAGCAGGGGCCGCATGTGTAGCCATGAGAGGCGCTGTCTCCCATTCGCCCCCAGCAGGTCGGCAACCCGCCGCCCACACACGCTCTCTCTCTCCCTCTCTCTCTCCCTCTCTCTCACACACACACTCACCACACACACACACAGACACACGCTCTGCAGTTCAGGGGGATGATTCCTCGGCGGCCCGGGCCCGCCGCCTCCATGCATTTTTATGAGCCGACATTCTCATTCCCAGGAGGAGAGCTCCAGCCACCCGCCGCCGCCCCTGGAGGTTCAGAGAGGAGGGGAGGGGGGAAGGACACTTTGGCGCAGTCAAACGCCCCGCCGGCGGCCGCGCGCGCTCAGCTGGGTAGAGAAGGCCGCCCCCGCCCCCGCGGCCGCCAGTGACACCCCCGCGGCGGCCCGCGGCTCGCACGTGCCCGTCGAGCGAGGCGATGGAGCGACGCGCGCGAGTCCGGGGTGGTCCATGCTACGGATACTGCTACTTTACTCACACACAAAAAAAAACAAAAAAACACCAGTGTACTGCCCTCCCCCCCCCCAAAAAAAAAAGTCAGTTTTTAAAAAATCAAAAAAATTAAGCAAAATTAATAAAGACGCAGAAAAATAAGTGTGCGGTTGAATTTATAACACTTGACCTTGATGTCGTTGTAGGTTGCCGAAGGCCAGACTCGGTTTATCATTTTCGAGGTGATGACCATCAAGAAAGTGTGAGTAGCAAACTCAGTCTGCTTAGTTTCAATTATCCCCCAACGAAAAAACAATGACGGCCAATTCGACGCGTGATTTTGGTGCAGTGGCCTCCTGCTCCCCGTTATTTCACCGGCAGTGCACCCCACTACTTCCACCTCCCCGATAAACCTCCCTCCTCCTCCTCCTCCCTACTCAATCAGCTCGGCCCGTGGCGGCCCCGCTGCGACCCGAGGACGCCGCCGAGGAGGACGCCCCCCGAGGTCGTATAAGGGAGGATGATGATGGGATGGCTAGAGGAGCAGGAGCACCGGCAGGGCGGCAGCGAGGAGGGTGTGGAGGTGAGGAGGAGGTGAAGAATCCCGGCCCTGTTTACAACCGCGCTGCTGCTGCTGCTGCTGCTGCTGCTGCCGAAGCGCCGCCGCCGCCACCGGAGGTTGTTTGGCGCGGGCAAAAAAGTAAAAGATGAACGCCTTTTGCTCGTCGCGCGGGGTTCAGAGACCCCGCTGAGCTGCACTGCAGCCTGCTGCAGGCCCGCGCGCGGCGCGACACCGCGGCCAAGTGCGAGCGAGACGGCGCGATCCTCACCGACGAGGATTCCTCCGGCCCCTCTCTCTTCCTCCCTCCCTCCCTCCATTTGTTGCGTCGTACTCTAATAACCTGTCGTACTCACTTGGTGTATGCGAGTACAAAACGATTCTCTTTCCTTCCCTGCGTCGCACCACGGCTAACATCACTGGGTGAAAAGTGTAAAAGGGCCCAAGTCCACGGACGTCCCATTGGACTTACGCCAGTGACATGCGTCCCCCCCCCTCCCTCTTCCGCCCCCGCCCTCCTCGCGCGTCAATGCGACGACACGGTCGCGACCGATCCAAAACGATACCAATCTCAATCTCGATTCGAAAACAATTCGCCCCGCACGCCGCAGCAAAACGTCGACGGCATATCTGATGACACTCCGGGCCGCCGGGCCGGGGCCGGCGACACACACGGCACGGCCCTCTGCTGCTCCCCGGGTATGCAAATGAGAGGATAGGGGGGAAAGAGGAGGAGGGGGAAGAGGGGGAGGGCGTCAGCAAAAGCGGTAATTGATAACGACACGATACTGGATGGAATTCCCCCCGGGCCTCCCACCCGCCGCAGTGTATCCGATCAGCGCTGCTGCTGTGGTCAGCAGCGGCATTCCCTGACATACAGGCCCCCCGCCCCCCGGGACTCACCTGTCTCATCGGTGACGTGTCGTCGCCGTCCTCGTTAAAATATCCTCCTTCCGCCAGGGTGTGCGCCCGGGCTAGAAACCCTTTCGCCTGTTCCAACAAGCTCGATCGATAAGTCGCTGCTCCCTTTGTTTACGTGACACACACACGCACGCACACACACAGGCAGGCTGGTGCACTCCTTGACCACCTCGCCGCTGCACGCACAGGTGGAGGCCCTCGCGGTGGCCACGGGGCGGGGCCGGGCGGCGTACAGGTCCTGGGGCTGGCCGTGGCCC